CCTCAGCCTCCCAAAGGCGCGGGATTACAGGCTGAGCCACCGAGCCCGGCTCAATGTGGGGCATTAGCTCTCACAAAACTATTGCAGGGGCTGCGGGGGACGAACGGGAGCTGCATGGCTTCAAGATTCAAGGTTGCGCCACCAGCTGAAGGCTGAGGTGAGGGAGAAAACTCTTCCTCCCAGCAGCCACGAGCACCAGTCCAGATGCAGCCGGATACCTCCATCCAGTGATGCCCTCCAAACACCAAGTGTGCTTGGAGCTGGCCCTGACCCTGACTGAAGGTACCTCCCCTGACCTGAGCGCTCCCAGTGCCCCTTGACTGAGCTCTCCAGGCTATGTGATGTACACACCTCACACTGCCAGTCAGGAGCGCTTATAACAAGCCAGGCTGTGGCAGGTGCTCTTGGGAGACCTGTCCTGTCTGTGTGGGCACTGTCTAGCGCCTGCTGACCTGGGATGGGGGGCGGCCCATAGAGACCCCATGGCATCAGCTGGGAGGCCCCCAGGCCTTGCCACTGTGGCCACTCTACTCACCACTCTGTGTCACCACCTGAGGGTGGGATTGTGGGGTCTCACAAAACCTGGGCTGGGCTCCCACCAAGCCCCATGGGGAGCCCACGGACAACTCTCCATCCCCTCACTCCCCCCAGGTGGCCCAGGCCTGGCAGGATGCCCATCCTGGCTCCTCCACAGGGTTCCCACCCAAACATTCCTGCGGCATGAGCAGCCGCCGCTCCCAGCCACCCTGGCAGGGCCTCACTCTCTCTTTTGACAGCCCAGGAGGCTCCCCAGCCTCTATTCCACCCCACCTGCCTGTTGAAACTGAGGCAGGGGGCTCAGGTCTGGTCCATCCCCCTGGCCTGTTAGAGTTTCCGGGCAGGGCCCACCCAGACCTCGGAAGGGAGCACTTGGGACTGAGGGGCTGGGGCTGCAGCAGGGAAACCACGGCAAAGGCTGTTGCCCAGCACCCCAGGATGCCCTCTGACTCATGGCACTCCCCCCTTCCAGGTAATAACTGTGGGCCAGTGTCTTGTGGTGATGGATGGAATGTGTGCCATCAGGGACACCTGGGCTGCCCAGGCCAGGCTCCCAAAACTGGAGTGAGGGTCAGGCTGGACATGGGTCCAAGAGGAGCACAGGGCGTCTGTGGACAATGTTCCTGTTTGAGGGACCCCTGGTTACAGCCTGGATGCCTAGGCATTGGGCCACCTGCCAGCACCAGGACTATCTGTGAATGGACATGGTGGACACCACACCCAGCCCTGCATTCCCCCTGGGGCTGCCAACCACCTGACTGGGGGCTCTCAGGACAGGGCTGTGGGGGGTTTTCCCCAGGTGACTGGAGGCTCTCAGAATAGGGGCTTGGGGGGATTTTCCCAGGAACTGCATCTCCTGGGTCTGAGCTCTGTGTCCAGGCCCACCAGGAGCTGATCACGGCTGGGGTCCTGTGAGGTGGGGGCAGGGTCTGCCCCTCTGGGCACTTTCTGTCAAACCTGCCTGGGTGGAAGCAGGGGTCAGGCTGGGTCTGGTACTGGACCTTCTGGGGGAGGGGCCCTGACCAGCCCAAATCAAGTAGTCCATGCTACATGGGTAGTCAGGACCCCCAGCCTGCTCTACTGAGGGGCCATTTCTGCCCAGCCCCAACAGGCAGTGGGACCCAGGTCAGCCCCAGGGGCCTGTTCTTGGGTGGAGGAAATGGCCCCATGTGGACACCCATCCCGACATCCATTCCCTCCCCTGCCCGCCCTCACCCAGGAGGCCAAGGCTGGCAGGGAATGTGGCTAGACTTCCTCTCCATCACTGAAGATGGGCCTTGGGGACCCAGACTGGGCTGGCGTGGGAGGCTCTGCAGGTGGGGAGGCCAGTGGGCCAGGGGAGAGCCCTGGCCAGGGTCCTGCCACCTCTTGCCTGCCCCAGGAGAGCTCCACAGGGGAATTCATCCCTGGGTATCCTGCTTGAACCCATCTGGAAACTAACCCTGAGGCAGCTCTAAGGCTCCAGCTCAGTCCTGGGGTGGCGAGCTGGGGGTGGGGGTCTGAGGAATGCGGATTGCAGTATTACAGGGCTGCAGTGGCCAGCAGGTACTGCAGGCCAGGTCAAGGTAGGCTCCCGGGGGCCTCACCTGAGTGTGGGGGTTCCTGGATCACTTGGGCTGGGAGGGGTTTGTTCAGGTCTCCTGGTCTGAGGAGAGTCAGCAGTGGGGCACATTTCGGGCCTGGCCACACCCACCCTACCACCCACTTCCTGGTGGGGGTCTGGGTTTCTTCCAACTTTTTGGGTGTCTGTTCCCTCAGGAGCCTCCCACCTCCTGGGGGCCTTGGTGGGAAGAGGGCTTCCCCTGGAGGCTTTGCGGCCCCAGAAAGGTCCCCAGCTGCTGGGCTGACCAGCGGTCCCTGCCCCATGGACAGATACCTGCAGTGTGAGATGTGAGGGTCTCTGATTTAGAGGGTGGGGGACCCATACAGGCTGACCTCAGGTGGGGGAGGTGGCTCTGCTCCACTGGCTTCGGGCCTCCCCTCAGGCCTCCTTGGGAGGGGTGAGTGTGGAACCGGGTGGTCCAGGCCTCCCATCCCAGGAGCCCAGGGTTTGTCCAGGAAGGGTCTCCTACCCACCTCCCTGTCCCCCACTGGTCAGGAGCCCCTGAGCCCCACCCCAGACAGGGTAGGGTTCCCAGGTTGTTCCCTGGCCCAACCTCTGCCCCACCTGTGCTTGTCCTTGAAAATGGGTCAGAGAAGCCCTGTTGCCCCAAGGCTGGCAGGTGAGAAGGGGTGTCTCCCTGTCACCCTGCTTCCACCACCCGAGGGAATTGTCAGCTGCAGGGCCCTGCTGTACACAGCCCAAGCACCTGTCATCAAAGGCAGGGAGCAAGAGGGAGGGGATGGGGGTGGCCACATGCCAGGAGAGCCCAAGCCACTCAGTCCTCCTGCTGCCAGAAGGGGGAAACTGAGGCCAGCTGAGCAGGAGGTGGCCCTGCCTTCCTGCCCTAAACCCTCCTACCTACTCTGCTCTGGGAAAAGGGAGTGAGCATCCACAGTCACCTGGATTCTTCTGGCCAGCCTGGCTGACTCAGCCCAATGCCCTCCCCCACCCCGCAGGAGGGGCCAGCTTCCTGGAGGGGGCGGGCCATGCAGTGGCTAGAAGACGGGGCCGGAGGTGGGACACTGCTGCTGGTTCTACCTGGGAGTCCCCTGGGACTTCACACTGGCCCAGGACTGAGCTGGAGTGGAACAGGCAGACCCTGAGTCTCTGTCCTTCACAGACCATGGCCTTGCCCACAGCTCAACTCCCTTGGGGGGCCTGTGGGACCCCCATCCATGGCAGCCTCCTGCTCCTGCTCCTCAGCCTCGGTGGGTACTGGGGGATGCTACAAAGTGGGTTTCCGGGGGGCAGGCAGGGGTTCTGGGACCAGGACCCCGGGGGAGGTTCTACCTTCCCTGTCTCTCTGCAGTGGGCAGGAGCTTGAGTCTTGGCAGGCGTCTGCCATGTCTCTGCCCTGAGGTCCCTGCACCCTGAAGAACTGGAGGCCAAGCAAGGGAATGATGGGGGATCAGCCCAAAGTGGGGGTGTCGGTAGGACATGGTCTGATCACCTGCTGCATTCCAGGAGGAAGGTGTGGAAGGGCCAGGCCTGTGGAGTGCAGGCCCCTGTCCTGGGGGGCTGTGAGGTCATGGGGTACAGGATCCCAAGTGTTGCCCAGTGGGGTGTGTGCAGGGCCCGGCCGAGGAGCAATTGGGGCTGCCTCCTACCTCCCAGGGTCCCCAGAAGGCCAGACCTCTCCTCTAGCCTTGGGCCCTCTCCCCTGCAGGGTGGGTGCAGCCCTCGAGGGCCCAGGCCAGAGAGCCGGCACCGGTAAGTTCTCCTCTGGGACTCAGGGAGGGTTTTCAGGTCCTGGGTGGGGCTGACTGTGTCTCATCCACCACAGCCTGGGGACCGCAACCCTTGTGTGCAGTGGCCACGGGGCACTCTCCCAAGGGTGTGGGGGCCTGGAAGCCCCTGGCTGGGGGAGGCCCTGGGAGCAGAGCCCAGATTCTCTCTGGTGGAGATGGCAGCTGGGCTGAGGGTAGCCAAGCCCATGGGGCAAGATGCAGCCTGGCTTGGAAGTGGCTAGACTTGGGACAACCTAGGCCTCATAGCAGCTGAGCTGGGCCTGGGGATTGCCGGGGAGGACAGAGCTCACTCAGCAGGCCCTGTGCCCCCAGGAGGCTGTGCCACCTGACCAGGTCTTGGCCAACACGTCTGATACAGCCAGGTGGGTCTGGGTCCCCACAGCCCTCAAGGGTGTGGCTGCAGGGGTCGTGTGGACCTTGGGTGGGCAGGGTGCCTGGACCTGGCTGAGGGCTTGGTCTGCTGTGTCCGTTCCCACAGCCCCTCCCTTCTCCTTTCTTTCCCCTGAGACCTGCTCTAGGAAGAGCCCTGGGATGCCCAGGTAGCCTCTCCTAGGCTCCCTGCCTGGCTGTGCTGGGGCTGGAGAGGGACTGCCCTCCAGAGGAAGAACTCCTTGTCCTTCAGGGCGTACCTGACCACGGGGAGGAGCACGGGGACTCCAGGGTCCTGAAGGGAATGGTGGGAGCGGTGGGGGGGGTGAGGCAGTGTGGGGGAGGGGCTCTCTTTGGAGGCACTTGTGGGAGAGGGGACTGTGGAGAAGGGACACTGGGGAGAAGTGAGGGCACAGTGGGAGTGGGATACTGTGAGGGACGGGCGCTGTGGTGGGACTGCGTGTGGAGGGGACCGTGAGGGGGTGGAGGTGCCGTGGGGGAAGCTACTGTGGGGGATGAGGGCCCTGCGAGGAGGTGAGGGTGCTGTGGAAAGGGCACCGTGAGGGGTGGGGACACTGGGAAGGGGTGGAGCACTGTGGGGCAGGGGTGATCCTGGCTGCCCTGTCCGGCTGCCCCAGCCCCTCCGGGAGCACCCTCCTTGGCTTCGCCTGTGCTGAGCTGTCTAGCCTGAGCGTGCAGCATGTTCAGGAGCTGGCTGTGGCCATGGGGCAGAAGAATGTCATGCTCCGGGCAGATCAGGTCAGTCCCGCAGGATCCTTGGGCAGAGTCAGGCGGGCCTGGCCTGGGGCCCCAAGGGATGGATAGGCTGGAGTCTATCTAGCCCCCAACTTGAACCCTGTCCATCTCCATCCCCATCGTGGTCTCCCCTGGCCAGCTGCTCTGGTCTCCTCTGGCCTCCTGCAGTGACCTCCAGGGAGCCATCCACTGACTCTAGCTGTGTCGAGGTCAAGTTGACTGGGTCCCCATCCTGGAGTCCCAGGCTGGCCTTCAAGGCTGAATCAACCGTGGCATGGTGGGGGGAGGGGCTGAGACTAGGAGGCTGAGCGAGTCCAGCCTTAGGGTACAGGGCAGAGGCAGACATACCCCCGTCCTCCCAGTGGTCCTCCTATTGTGGGCAACCATTGCCAGGGGCTCGAGTGAGAAGGGCTACAGTGCGTTGTGGGTGGAACAAGATAGCCTGGCACCCTGCCCATTCCCAGGGCACGGCCTGGAATGTTCTGTGCTGGGTGCTCCCTCTTGCAGCTGCGCTGTCTGGCTGGCCTGCTCTCCAGGCACCACACCCTCGCGGACCTGGACACGCTCCCGCAGGACCTGTTGCTGTTCCTCAAGTAGGCCACTTGCCTGCCTCTGACCCTCGGGAACCAGCGCTGTCAGCAGAGCGGGGAGGGCAGTGGTCAGTGTGGCCACCCAGCACTGTCTCTTTGCAGCTTGGCCGTGTTCTCGGGACCCCAGGCCTGTGCCTGGGTCTTCTCCTGTGCTGCGAAGGTGCTCCCGCGGGGGGCTCCAGAGCGGCAGCAGCTTATGTCCGTAGCTCTGGCCTGCCGGGTATGGGCCAGGCCGGGGAGGAGGTGGGAGCGGGGCGGGGGCTGGTGATCCCCGCAGGCTCTGAGGCTGCCCTCGTGCAGGGCGTATGGGGATCCCGGGTGAGCGAGGCAGATGTGTGGGCACTGGGAGGCCTGACCTGTGACCTGCCTGGACACTTCGTGTCTGAGTTGGCAGGGGCTGTCCTGCCCCAGGTGGCATGCTGCGTGGACCAGGACCAGCAGGAAGCACTCAGGGCAGCTCTGCAGGGTGGAGGACCCCCCTTCGGGTGAGTGAGGGTGTCTAGAACCATGAGGGGGTGCTGGAACCTCTCTTGTGGGGATGTCTGGGGCCTCCTGGGTCAGCCGTCCTCGGACAGCCCCTGCCAGTGCCCTACAGAGTTCCCGCCAATGCTTCTTTGGGGCAGCATCTGGCCTGATCTGTCCCCTGCCCGCTCTGTCCGAGGCTGGGCTCCAGGGTCCTTGAGCTGTGCCCCTGTGCCTGGACAGCCCTCCATCGACATGGTCAGTCTCCACCCTGGACGCTCTGCGGGGCCTGCTACCCGTGCTGGACCAGGACACCATCTGCCAAGTCCCAGAGGTAAGGCTCCATCTCTAGTCCGCCAGTGGGCGCCCAGCCCCTCGAGGCTCAGCATAGCCCTGCTCTGTCTGTAGGATGTTGTGACCATGTGGCTGCAACACACATATTGGGACCCCTCCTGGTGGCAGCCTGGGCTGATCATCATCCCCCCAAGGCTCCGGCGCGACACAAGGAGTGAGTGCCACTCCTGCCCCAGCAGGTGTCACTCTAGGCGGGCCGTGGAGGCGGGTGTGGACCCCAGCTTCCAGGGTGTCCCTGGCGCAACCCTCCCAGCTTCCCAGTCCGTTTGGTCATCACAACCATGAGAGTGGACAGAACTGTTCCATCTTGCCAGTTGGTCAGTGGAGGCCCAGGCAGGCTCACGCATGGCCCGGGGTCTCACATGGGTGTGAGGGAAGAAGAGACCCAGTGAAGACTGACCTCTGACCCTGCCTGTCCTGTAGAGAAGGCCTGCCCGCCAGGCCGGAAGCCCCATGTGGTGGATGTGGAACTGGTTTTCTACCCACCATGGGAGCTGGAAGCCTGCGTGGATGGGGCCCTGCTGGCCTCCCAGATGGAAAGCGTGAACGCCATGCCCTTCACCTACGAGCAACTGGCCATTCTGAAGCACAGGCTGGACCTGGTAGCTCACCAAGGGATTCCGCCCCCACCGGGCTGGGCCTCCTGGTCACCCTGAAGGAGCCCAGTCCTCACAGCTACTCCCCATAGGTCTACCCCCAAGGCTACACTGAGCCCCTGGTACAGCGCCTGGGGTACTTCTTCCTCAATATGAAGCCAGAAGACATCGACAAGTGGAATGTGACCTCCCTGGACACCGTGAAGCCTCTGCTCGAAGTTAGCAAGGGGCGAAAGATGGACGCTCAGGTGACCTCCTACCTCGGGTGTGTGGGCCTGGGGAGGGCACAGCCTGGGGGCGGATGTGTGGGCCTGGGAAGGGCACAGCCTGGGGGTATGAAAGTCTGGTGGGGGTCCAGAGCCTGGGGGGCGACACAGCCTGGGGTTATACAGGCTTGAGGGGACAGAGCCTTAGGTTGTGCAGGCATGGGGGGGACAGCCTGAGGGTGTGTTAGCTGGTGGAAGGATTCGCTTCTCCTTGCTACCAGCACCTCAGTGGCCTCCTCCCCCAGGTGGCTGCCCTGATTTCCCGCTATCTGATGGGAAGTCGCCAGCTGGACAAAGACACCCTGGACACCCTGGCTGCCTTCCGCCCCATATACCTGTGCTCCTTCCGCCCTGAGAACCTGGGTGCTGTGCCCCCCAGCATTATCTGGTGAGTACCCAGGGCTCTGCTGGGCAGAGGACATCCAGTACTGGTGCTCACTGTCTAGTGTTCCCACTGCCCCAGGTCGGTCAGACCCCAGGACCTGGACACCTGCAGCCTGAGCCAGCTGAACATCCTCTACCCCAAGGCCCGCCTGGCCTTCCAGAACCTGAGTGGATCTGAGTACTTCCTGAAAATCCGGACCTTCCTGGGTGAGCCAGGGCCCCCGTGGCCTGGTGGGCCACCATAAGGGCAGACCATGGACCGCCTCTCCTTGCTGGACTGCCTACTGCAGTGAGACTGGGTGGTCCCCAACCTCTGCCCTGTGGGATGTGCGGCCTGGGAGGCTGTGGATTCTGACCCCAGCTGGGCACCGAGGTTGTATCTGGCCTCTCTTGGTGAGCTACCAGGTCCAGCCTGTGCTTCAGAATGGCCAGTTGCTTGTAGGTGAAGGGCATGTCATTCACGGTTTCCATCTGGGAGGCCAGCAGGGCCCCATCCCAGTCAGCAGAGAGTGGGACTGGGAGTGTGTGGTAAACTCTCACGGCCTGGGGCTCTTGCCCTGTGGACAGGTGGGGCCACCACGGAGGATCTGCGGGATCTCAGTCAGCAGAATGTTAATATGGACTTGGCTACGTTCAAGAAGCTGAGGACGGAAGCTGTGGTGGTATGGGGGCCCTGGAGCAGGATGGGGGCCTGGAGGAGGGGGCCATGAGGGAGGGGGAACAAGGAGAAGGGGGGCCGCGGGGGAGGGGCCCTGGAGGAGGGGGCCAAGGAAGAGAAGCCCCAGAGGAGGGGGGCCAAGGAGGAGCCGTGGAGGAGGGGGCCACAAAGGAGGAGGCCTCAGAGGAAGGGCACCCCAGAGGAGGGTGGACACAGAGTGGGGGAGCTTGGAGGAGGGGCCACAGAGGAGGGAGGCCCTGAAGCAGGAGAGTGGGCATGGAGAAGGAGGGCAAGGAGGAGGGGACACAGAGGATGGGCTACAGAAGAAGGGGCATGGAGGGGAACTACAGGGTGGAAGCGGGAACAGAGGAGGGGACGCGGTGGAGGGGACATGGGGGAGGTGGGGCACCAAGAGGCAGGAGGAATCGAGGGGTGGGCACTGAGGAGGAAAGGGCACACCGGGTAGTGCATCCACAAGGTGCGTGTACACAGAGGAGGTCAACATGATGGAGATGTGGCCTCGTGATGGGGCAGCTCCTAGGAAGGGCATGTCCTTGGGGGTCTTGGGAAGGACAGCTGTGGTACGGTGGCCAGCAGGCCTGAAACCTCCAAATCAGGGCTGAGCAGGGCCTGGAAGGCCAAGCCGGGGATTCTGGGTTTGAGGAAGCAGCATTGTTTGGGCACAAGGGAGCCTAGCAGCCTCAGGGCCCGGAAACCCTGATGTTGCCCGGGGCTCTGGCAGCAGCTGACCGTGGCTGAGGTGCGAGACCTCCTAGGACCGCACGTGGCGGGCCTGAAGGCTGAGGAGGGCAAAAGCCCCGTGCGTGACTGGATCTTCCGGCAGCCGCAGGACGATCTGGACACGCTGGGGCTGGGGCTCCAGGGCGGTGTCCCCAGTGGCTACCTGGTCCTGGACCTCACTTTCCGAGGTGGGTGGGGAGCCCAGGCTGGGGGGGGCAGGAGGAGGGGCTTGGTCTGACTGGTCCTCTCTCTGCAGAGGCCCTCTCGGGGGTGCACCGCCTCCTGGGACCTGGACCCATGCTGGCCACTCTCCCGGCTCTGCTCCTGGCCTTAGCCTCCAGCTGAGGCTGCCTCTCCAGACGCCCTGGCCCCCAGACCCATGGCGGAGCCCTGCCTGGCTAGTAGCAGGCCTGGTGGCTTCCATCGGACCTCAGGGGTCCTGAGCATAATAAACGGGCTATGCCCCTGCAGACATGTCCCGTGGCCTTCTGAGGACTTCCTGTGACCCTATCAACCTGCTCCCTGAGTCAGCCCCATGTGTCTGGGAGTGGCCAGGCTGGGCCTTCAGGCAGGGTGGGTCCTGCTGGCCTTCTTGAAGCCATTGCCATAGTCCCAGCCAGGCCACACTCAGGGGATGAGGGAGTCCCCTTCTGAGTCCTTTGATTGGGCCCTGGCTCGGAGAGGCTGTGGCCACTGCTCAGGCCCAGAGCAGACACAGTGGGAAGATCAGCTGGCACTTTATTCACATCCACCCTCAAAGTCAGGAGCATGGAAGCCCCTGCCTGGCCCTGCTCTTTCCTGAAGGGCCCAGGCAGTGTCTCCCTGAGCCACCTGGACTTGTGACTGGGCCAATCCCAGTTCCATCCTCAGTCCATCCTCAGGTCCTGAAAGAAGGGGTGAGCAGGGCCAACTCTGCAAGGGCCCTAGGACTTGGGGTACAGAGCCAGAGCGGGCGTCCAGCTCCACCTGGCAGGCCTATGAGTCCTGCATGTGATGCCTGGGGACCTGACTGCCCTGGGGCAGCGCTATCCGTTGAGGCCAGGGTACAGGCGCCCGGTGAGCCATCCCAGGCAGACTTCTAGTTTCTCAGATGCAGTAGCCACATGACAGGGCCATGATGAGGGCAGATACCCCAGGGGGGCTGGGCTGGCAGGTTGCCTGCAGGCAGAGCACGGAGGGACCCATCAGTCCTGGCCCTAACCCTAACCCTAACCCTAGTCCTGGCCAGAAGCAGTCCTCAGAGCCACCGAGGGTGTGATAGTGCCTGGGCAACCCTCCTGGGTGGGGACTGCCAGTGAAGACCCACCAGTGGCCTGGCATCTGGGTCATCAATGATCTCAGGTCCTCCCACCCACTTCTGCTGCTCTATGGGTCCCCGCATCAACCAGTGGAAGGACGGGGGAAGCCCGTGCCACTCAGTCATCCAGGGAGGCAAAGGGGGAAGACTGACCAACAGGAGCAGGGTGGGCCCGGGAGCAGGGTCTGCAGAGCACCCTGGGCAGAGGTCCAAGCAGGGTTGGGAGGTTCTACCCCAGGTGGAAGCCTCAATGTCCTTCCCAGACCCTCCTGGCAGCCACCTGCTACCAGCCCAGGTGTGAGCAAGACATGTCCATTCCCCCTCCAGCAATGCCCCTGTCTGAAGGGGCAGTGTGTGTGCTTGGAGCTGGCCTTGGCCCTGATTGGAGGTGTCTCCCATGACCTGAGTGCTCCCACTGACCCTTGGCTGACCCTTCCATGCCGCATGATGTCCACACAGCACACCTCCATTCAGGAGTGCTTATAATAAGCCAGGCTATGGCCAGCGCTACTGGGAGACCTGTCCTGCCTGTATGGGAACCATCCAGTGCCTGCTGACCTGGAATGTGGAGACCCCAAGGCATTGGTTGGGAGACCCCTGTGCCTTGCCATGTGACCGTGGCCACTTTTCTCCTGTTTTACCACCCAAGGGTGGGATTGTAGGGTCCCACAAAGCCTAGGCTGGGCTCCCACCACACCCCCATGGGGATGCCAAGGGCAGCTGTCCACTCCCTCACTCCCCCTGCATGGCCCGGGACTGGCAGGGTGCCCATCCTGACCCCTCCACAGGGTCTACACTCACACATTCCTGTGGTGTGAGCAGCTGCCTCTCCCAACCGCCCTGGCAGAGGCTCGCTATCCCTCTTAACAGCCTGGGAGGCTGCCCGGCCCCTGTTCCACCTCACCTGCCTATTGAGGAAACAGAGGTAAGGGGCTCAGGTCTGGTCCAACACCCTGGCCCATCAGAGTTTCTGGGCAGGGCCCACCCAGACCTCAGGAGGGAGTACTTGGGACTGAGAGGCTGGGGCTGCTGCAGGGAGGCCACAGTGAAGGCTAATTCCCAGCACCCCGGGATGCCCTCCTACTCACGGGACTCCTCTCTTCCAGATAACACCTGTGGGCCAGTGTCCAGTTGTGGTGTGGATGGAATGTGTGCCATCGAGAGTACCTGGGCTGCCTGCCTGGGCTGGGCTCCCAACACCAGAGTGAGGGTTAGCTTGGACATGGGTCCAAGAGGAGCACAGGGTATCTGTAGACAAGGTTCCTTTGTGAGGGACCCTTGGTTACAGCTTGGATACCTGGGCATTGGGCCACCTGCCAGCACCAGGAGTATCAGTAAATGGACATGGGGACACTATGTCCAACCCTGCGTTCCCCCGGGGCTGCTAGTTGCCTGGCCCTGGAGCCCAGGGTGGCTGGGGACTCTCAGGACGGGGGCATGGTGGGATTTTCCCAGGTGACTGGAGACTCCCAGGACAGGGGCATTGGGGGATTTTTTTCAGGAACTGCATCTCCCAAGACTGAGCTGTGTGTCCAGGCCTACCAGAAGCTGACCACGGCTAGGGCCCTGTGGGGTGGGGGCAAAGTCGCCTCTGTCTGTCCCTCTGGGCACTTCCTGTCAAGTCTGTCTGGGTGGGAGTAGGGGTCAGGTTGGGGCTGGTATTGGACCTGCCAGGGGAGGGACCCTGGCCAGCCCAAATCAAGCAGTCCCTGCCTGCCAGGTTCTGCTGCTTGTGGGTGGTCAGGATCCCCAGCCTGCTCTGCTGATTGGTCATTTCTGCCCAGCCCTCACAGGGGACCCAGGTCAGCCAGGGGTGACCTGTGCTTGGGTGGAGGAAATGGGCCCATGTGGACGGCCATCCCTATGTCCACTCCCTCCCCCGCCCACCCTCACTCCGGAATCTGAGGCTGTCAGGGAATGTGACTAGACTTCCTCCCCATCACTGAAGATGGGCCTTGGGGACCCAGGCTGGGCTGGCATGGGAGGTTCTGCTGGTGGGTCAGGAGAGGGCCCTGGTCAGTGTACTGCCGCCTCTTGCCTGTCCCAGGAGGGCTTCACAGGAGAATTCACCCCTGAGGATCCTGCTTGGACTCATCTAGAAACTAGCCCCAAGGCAGCCCTGAGGCTTCAACTCAGGCCTGGGGTGGCAGGGAAAGGTCTGACGAATGCAGTGTCCTGCAGTCTCTGCAGGCCAGGCCAGGGTAGGTTTGCGGGTGCCTTGCTCGAGTGTGGGTGCCTCTGGGTCACTCAGGGTGGGCAGGGGCTATCCAGGTCTCCTGGTCTGAGGGGAGTCGGTAGTGGGGCACATTTTGGGCCTGGTCACACCCACCTCACCACCCACCTCCTTGAGTGTCTATTCCCTCAGGAGCCTCCCATGTCCTCAGGGCCTTGGTTGGGGAGAGGGCATCCCCTGGAGGTTTTGTGGCCCCAGGACAGTGCCCAGCCACTGGGCTGACTAGTGGACCCTGCCCTGTGGACGGGCAGCTGGTTTAGAGGGTGGGAGACTCCCACAGGCCAGCCCCGGGTGGGGGAGGTTGGGGGGGTGGCTCTGCTTCACCAGCCTCGGGCCTCTCCTCAGGCCTCCCTGGGGGGCGGTGAGTATACAGCTGGGTGGTCCAGGTCCCCCACCCCAGGAGCCTGGCGTCTGTCCAGGGAGGGGTTCCTACCCACCTTCCTGTCCCCTCTCTGGCCAGGAGCCCCTGAGCCCCATCCAGAGATGGCAGGACCCCCAGGTTGTTCCCTGGCTCAGCCTCTGCCCCACCTGTGCCTACCCCTGAAAATGGGTCAGAGAAGCCCCATCACCCTGAGACTGGTAGATGGGAAGGGGCATCACCCTGTCACTTGTCCTTGGCCACCTGAGGGAATTGTCACCAGCAGGGCCCTGCTGTACAGAGCCCAAGAACCTCTCATTGAGGGCATGAAGGCTTGTGGGAGGGTATGGAGGTGGCTGCACCCCAGGAGAACCCAAGCCACTCAGTCCTCCTGCTGCCAGAAGGGGGAAACCAAGGCCAACTGAGCAGGAGGTGACCCTGCCTCCCTGCCCTAAACCCTCCTGCCTGCCCTGCCCTGGGGAAAGAGGATGGACACCAACAATTGCCTGGACTCTCCTGGCCAGCCTGGCTGACTCAGCCCAACACCCTTCCCCACCCCGCAGGAGGGGCCAGCTTCCCAGAGAGGTGGGCCACGTGGCAGCCAAGGACAGGGCCAGAGGTAGGACGCTGCTGCAGGTGACTGAAGTTCTACCTGAGAGTCCCCTGAGGCCTCACAACTGGCCCATGACCAAGCTGGGGTGGAGCGGGCAGGTCCTGAGACTCTGTTCTCCACAGACCATGGCCTTACTCACAGCTCGACCCCCCTGGGGGGCCTGTGGGACCTCCACCCACGGCAGCCTCCTATTCCTACTCCTCAGCCTCGGTGGGTACCAGGGGGAGTGCTACAAAGTGGGTCTGCGGAAGGCAGCCAGGGGTCCTGGGGGCAGGACCTTGGGGGAGGCTCTACCCTCCCTGCCTCTCCCCATAGTGGGCAGGTGACCTGAGTCTTGGCAGTGTCTACCATGTCTCTACCCCAAGGCCCCTGCACCCTGAGGGGGCTGGGAGCCAGGGGGTTATGGGGGCTCAGCCCAAAGTTGGGGTGTCTGTGGGATGGGGTTTGAGCACCTGCTGCATCCCGGGAGGAAGGTGTGGAAGGGCCAGGCCTGTGGAGTGCAGGCCCCTGTCCTGGGGGGCTGTGAGATCATGGGGTACAGGATCCCAAGTGTTGCCCAGTGGGGTGTGTGCAGGGCCCGGCCAAGGAGCAGTTGGGGCTGCCTCCTACCTCCCAGGGTCCCCAGAAGGCCAGACCTCTCCTCTAGCCTTGGGCCCTCTCCCCTGCAGGATGGGTGCAGCCCTTGAGGGCCCAGGCCAGAGAGCCGGCACCGGTAAGTTCTCTGGGACTCAGGGAGGGTTTTCAGGTCCTAGGTGGGGCTGGCTGCATCCTATCCACCATGGCCCTCGTGTGAAGCACCCATGGGGCCCACTCCCAAGGGGGTGTGAGGACTGGAAACTTCTGG